AGAAGCTAGAACGCTGAAATCTTAGGGGGATGTTCCCTGTCCAAGTAAGTATTGACGAGTTCAAACTTTGCCCGCGAGTAAGGTTGGTACCTACGTACGGGCCCGTGAAATTTTTTTCCGTGTAAGCTGCTAACTCGAGAACGTGAGAAGCTAGAAAACTGGAATTTTGAAGGTATGTTTCCTGACAATTCCGGCAGCCAGTCTTAAATTCTTTTAGCTAGAAGCATCTGCCGGACCAACTAATGCCGATAGCGACAAAAAGTTGCGGGGAGCAACGCAAAAAACGCATCTTTGCACGAGCAGCCCGTGCGTTGGCCAATTATTAGGATTGCCAGCAGCAGAATGAACATTGACCAAAGCAGTGCGAAAACATCAACTGCCTGGATCCTCCGTGAAAACAAAAATTTTTTTTCTCACGCAATTTCCCTGAAGAAAGGCCTTTTGTCTTTTCAAGCTACTTGAATTAACCTAATCGATTCGAGCTGTTCAATTTGTAATGCATTCAGCCGTTGCTGCAGTTGATTTTGCCTTGTCATTGCAACTTCACGTACACGTTCCCAACGAGTGTTCACCATCAGAAGCTGGGAAACGATTGCTGCACCTTGCTCTTCATCCAATTTTTGAACCAGAAGCTGGCCACTGCAAAATACAGCAGAATCATTCATGTGAAAAGGACCAGAAAAACAAACGAAAGAGAGCAATTCCAGTAACATCGCTAACATGGGATACCCACACTGACCGCCCAGTCGGCATCCTATGTTAGCGATGGGTATTTTTGGTATATAAGCAGTATCGGGAAATGCGAAATTATGTTTTTATTATCCTTGGCTACAACGCATATCTCAGTTTTCTCTTTTATCGCTTTCGTAACGGGGACTGAATTGACTTCTCAAAAAAAAAAAACGCTGCTTCTCAGGTTCTTGTGATAACGCTTATCATTAAAATAAAGCAACCACCGATTGATAAAGTTGTAAATGGTCCCCTCTTCCGTTGAATGCTTGAAAAGAAAGCTAAAAGGAGTTTTTGCTTCCAGATCGCTGAGCGCTTTCATATCAATCCTTAGTGCAATAAAACTGCTTCATCCAAGAAAAAGACTCGACGATCAGCAATTTCACCGCCCCTCCCCCTCCCTCCTTCCTGCCGCAGTGGAAATCTTCTCCGAAATCGCCACATTATTTTACCATTAAAAACTAACCGGTGTAACACTCGGCCAACGCTATCCTGACTTTCGGACAATGACTGCATAAACAGCTCATGCTCTCTGAACTGTGCTTTGACAAGCTCTACCTGAAATATTAGGTAACTTTTAAAAAAGGGGTTTTTTTAAAATTTTCCCACAAAACCTGGTGATCAAATTTTGCAAGTCCTCCCCCCCCAGTGAAGTTAGAAATCGTCAAGCCGACAAAATATGGATAAGGATTACTGTAACGGATATCAGCAAAAAGCCAGCAGTAATAGGAAAAAAATGTGAGTTGCATACGAAGGTGCTTAATAACTTAGAGTGCTACACATATACGAGTGGCATAGACACAAATATAAATCCTCCAACTGCTGCTTGAAGCATGATACTGGTAGTGTAACGGATAACGCGTTATATTCCAAGGATTTGGAGGTAACGAACAAAGAGGTTCCTCCAGATTAATATTCTTTGTGACAAAACACTTCACATCAATCGTCATCAGGCTGACTATCAGTTAATGTAGTACCGGTCAAAGCAACTGGAAAAAGTTACCAGCTGCGCAACTGGGTGAACTATACTGTGAATTACAGTTGAAACTAAAAAAAAGCTTGCATCATTCGTTTCGATAGATTCTACAGCGTTTGCTTGTTCCTCCGCTTCCAGCAACCAGGCCAACACATGCTCAAGGCAGTCTTCGAATTCGGCAATTGTCTCCTCCATCATTTTACCTCGACGACGGCCTGACTTCTGACTCGAACTCGACGATTTACGGGAGCGAATTTCGACGGCCTAGAAAAGCACAATTTTAAAACAATTTTCAGTAATTTCCGTAAGGAAAACAATATTTTTATGGGTTTTTGCTGTGCAGC